TTCTTCCTTGAAATTTGTGTGGTACATGAAACTAAAACAGTTATCTCAAGACCATATTGTTAAAGTACGTAGCGAGTGGCTGGTTAGATAGTACAGATAGTTAGATTGCTGAGTAAGGCACATTCCTTGCATGCTGGCCAACCTGGATTTGATCCCCAGCATCTCATATGGCCCCCTGAGTACTGCCTTGAGTGCAGAGCCAGAAGTAACTCATGAGCACTACTGGGTGGGGCCCCCAAACAAACAACAACAACAATGAAGCAGAATAGTGATATATTCTGGGTTCTTGTTGATGGCATGTAAGATTTTAACACTCCAATCACAGGTCAATTATTTTCAGTTCAATTTAACAGCTCAAGTTGGTACAGGTGAGGCAGCAAGATCAGAGCAGAAAAGACGGAGGGGTGGGAAAAGCTTTTTCTTTGCACTGACCTGGCTTATATAACTATCCTGTTCCTTAGTTGTTTCTGCTGTTTGGTTACACTCTATGAGATCATACGATTGACAACGTGTGTACAAATGAGTGTGTGGTGATTGTGGGAAAACCAATAAGTTTGCACATGCCCTTATATAGACATGTGAGGTGCTGCATTGGCGCTTATGCAAATAAGGACTGGAAGATCACCAATCGGATCACACATAGAGGCATGTGCAATAGTGTCACTGCCTCTTATGCTAAGCACATGCCTTAATATGGGCATGTTGGTTCTTGTGCAAATAAGGACGACCAATCAGAGCACACATGCCCTTATATGGGTATGTAAGATGATATTTTTGGTCCTTATGCAAATAAGATTGACCAATAAGATCACACTTTCCCTTATATGGGTTGTAAGGTGATATCATTTTGCCCTTATGCAAATAAAGACTGGAGACTGAGCAATCAGATTGCACATGTCCCTTATATGGGCATGTAAAAAAATGATGTAATCTTATGATAATAAGATCTGAAGGATGATGAATAAAATCACATATATAAATTAGGATGTGCAGTATGGTTCCTCAGAGATCTCATTTCCTTCCTCCCCTTTTTAGTCTCTCCCTCAGAAATGGTATGATTCAGTTTTTCTGCTAATGATGGAAAGGGAAGAATAGAAGTTTCTTGGTACTGATGACATCAACAGAATGACTTTCATAGTCCTGATTTATCTTCTAGTCTAAATTACTACTATCATTTTAGTGTAGGTATAATAATTTTTTATTTAAATTATTCTGATGGTTACCTTATTTCCTCATTTCTTCTTGTTCCTCACCTAGGTATTTCCCATATAGCATCTAGAGTTTTATTTATTTGGGGGTGTTTGGGTAAAACCCAGTAGTTTAAGGCATCACTTCTAGCATGTAGTTTACGGTTACTCTCGTCAGTGCTTGGAGGACCATATGGAATTGGGGATAAATCCTGGGCCTACAGCATGCACAGCATTCACACTAGACTTTAAACTTTCTATTCCACCCAAGATATATATTTAAAAATAAAATTTACTCAGTAAATTAGAAATACAATTACTTCAGCTTGAAAGTATAATACTTACAGTGGTTAGGGTGATAGTTCAAAGGGCTGTAGTGCATGGTTTGAATGCTGGAGCCCTGGGTTTGATCCTGGTCATTGTTTGAGTCTCCTGTGTACTACCAGATGAGGCCCTGAGAACTGCTGGTTGTGGGGCCAGAAACACATTTTTAAAAATGTGTTTTTTAAAAAAAGCCTGGAGAGATAGTATAGTATGGAGGGTGCTGGCCTTATACACAGCTGACCCAGGTTTGATCTGCATCACTCAATCACCTGAACCCCACCATAAGTGATCCCTGAGTGCAGAACCAGGACTAAGCACTGAACACCAATGGGTATGCCAGTCCCTCCTCCCTGCAATTATACAGCAGAACTCACACTTAATAGTAAAAGACTGGATGCTATCTTCCAAAGATTGAGGAAAAGTAAGAATATTCTGACTACTCCTAATTCCCGTAATTCTGGAACTTCTAGTAGTACTGATTTGAAAAACATGAATAGGAATCTTATACTGATTCCTATTTTATCAACAAAAAATAAACATCATCAATGTTCATCAGATTTTGTTGAATATAGGACCACCACTAGAGGGACATCTAGGATTCTTTTCAGGGTTCAATGAAAAAGAAGCTATGTTTTATTGTTCATGTTTCCATCAAACAGGATTGATACTAAATAGTTCCTATATGAAAACATTTTTTATTTCTTAGAGAATGAAATAGATTTCTTATAGACATGAAAAAGACTAGTGGAAATACAATCAGAATAAAGGCAATTTATGAACCTTTTCATAAATTGGTTCAGTTAAAAAAAAAACTGAACCAGTTCAGGGTCAGTTTGCTGGGTTAGGAACTTTTAAAAATTTGAGACACTATGATTTGCAATACTCTCAATGACAGGATTTCATGCACAAATGTTCCAGCATCACACCACTCTACCAGAATTGGCTTCCCTCCACCACTGTCTTGAGACTTTCTCTTCATCACACCTTCCACTCCCCACTCCGACAACCCTTAAGGTCTCCATCCCCTCATCCTTCCCTCCTTCTCGCCTCAGTCTAGGTCTAGGGTACCCCCTCCTCTCACCGTCATTGCAGTCCCCTCTACCCTCCCATCCCATCCTGTCCCTCCTTTGTGGTGATCTCAGTTCCATAGACCATGTCTCAAGTTCTGTTGCCTTTGGCCACTTATTTTGTAACAATGTAATATTAGTTATGTTACTAAGTTTCTTTTAATTCCACAAGAAGCTAACATTTTAAATAACTCGGTAGAAAATAATTAAGTCCTTGAAACCTGAAATCCTTCACAAATATTTTAATCCTTATTTGGATAGAATGGTTATCCATCAAAAATAAATTTTATGTGAAATACTTTAGTGTGAGAAAGATTGAAATCTTGGATGTAAAGAAAACACTGTGAGTATAAGTTAAATATTAGTTTTATTTGGTTTTTGACAAAGAGAAAATAGTTCATAGTTGAATATTTTACTACTGGGAAAGAAACTGGAATTTGATTTTATTCCCTTAAAATGCTTAATATATCAGTTATCATACCCAAGTGTTGTATTTTACATTTGACAACTCTTGTTTCTCTTTTTTTAAAAACTTAAAAAAATGAATAAAAGCTGTTCATGATTGGATTTCAGTCATACAGTATTCCAACATCCATCTCTCCACCGGTGTACATCTCCCAGCACCAGTGTCCCCAGGTTCCTTCCCATCACCCCCACCACCTGCCTGAATCTATGTCAGACGCCTCACCCCCTCCCCTTTTTGATCATTGTGGTTTGCAATATTGATACTGAAAGGTTACCAAGAATATCCCTTTACCTACTTTTAACCCTTAGATCTTTGCCACCTCTTCTTTATCTGCGGTACCACAGTCCTAATACTGAAAATCCTCCTCTCCAGGCCATTAAATTGTTTCCCTAACTCCAGTCTTGTGAGCCTGAAAACTGTAAAATTTCTTCATTTGACTATGCCTTTTGCTCTGAAAATCCTTTTGTAATCCCATCCACAAAGGCTAAAATTCAGAAGCCTTTGTAAAGCCCCCAGACGCCACGTCTCAGATCTCATCTCTTGTTGATGTCCCACTGGGTTCTCAAACACTGACCCCACACTTCTCGAACCCACTCAAAATCTCTCGCTCTTGTATCAATCTTTCACAATTACAGGATCTCCCTCTCTTCCTCTTACTGTTTTCCCACGGACAACCTCACGGTGGTTTTAACTCATCGCCTCTGCATTGACACCGCGAAGAACTGGCGTCACGTCTTGTGGAGCGCCCCCCACTCTCCCAGCCCAGCTTCCCCTGTATCCCACCGTTCTGCACACCAGCTACCTACAAACGCTCACACGGGGATAAAATCCTCGTTTGTCCATCTCTCAGACTGTGAGCTCTTGGGGGACAGAAACAGACTTTTAACGGAACCTCTCACGACGCTAACCCATTCCACAGAAGCTTCGGGAAAACCGGCTCCAGATACTCCGAGTCCGGGACTAAGCGGGAATCTCGCGAGACTTGGTTTTCTCGCCTTGCCAGGCCGGGAGCGGCGCAGTCATTCAGCCGTTGGCCGCAGGAGGCGCAGGCAGCTGGAGCTTTGTCGGTTGCGGCTCACGTGCCGGCGCGCGCGCGCGCGGAGTCTTCGAAGGTAAGGGCCGGGTGGTGGCGTTCGCCCGCTGTCACCCCACCCCCCCAGTCGCCCGATGTCACCCCGTGTTGCCCAGCAGTCTCTCTGATGTCGCCCCGCCGTCTTTCCCCGCAGCGAGCCTAGCCCAGGGCGGCGCCTTGTGCCCGCCATCGCCCAGCAGTAGCTCCGCCGTTGTTCCTCCCCAACGGACGGAGCCCAGGGCCGCACCTTGTTTTGGCCATCGCCCAACGGTTGCCCCGCCATCTCCCCGCCGTTGTCCCCCCAGCGGGCGGATCTCAGGCCGCACCTCGCACCCACTGTTGCCCCCCCCCCCGTCACCCCGCAGTCTCCCCGTCGGTATCCCCCCGGCGAGCCGAGCCCAGGCCTCGCCTCGCACCCGCGCACTCTGTCTACCGTCAACCCCCCTCCCCACCAGTGCCCCCGCGTCGTGCCTTCCTAGTGGACATGGCTCTTTCCCAGCATGAGTGCCTGTTGAATCTCACACCTGTATCTCCTGCGATGCCTCAGCGGGTAGGGGAGAGCCCTTCCCCCCTCCCCCCCCCCCCCCCCCCCCCCCCGCTTCGGGAGGCTTCCAGAGCCTTCCACCCTGGTCCTGACACGTGCGCCTAGCCCTTCAGTTTCCCCTGCGCCGTTTATGTACACGTTGCGTTTTTTTGCTTGTCTCTTGGTGTTCTTTCGGATCACCCGCTGGGGCGTGGGGCTGGGGTGTGGGGTGGCTGGGTCGGGCCCTGCGTCGAGCGCCCGACGTAGCTTGGAAAATACCGGTTAGTGTACTGGGCGACGTGTGAAATTCTTTCTCTCGCCCCTTCTCCTGAACGGTACATAAGGAACAGCAAGAGAGAAAATGGACAAGGCGAAGCCCTTTAAGTTGTTCGTGCCGCCAAGGTTAAGTAGCAGTCAAGTGTCTGCAGTGAAACCTCAGACACTGGCAGGAGAGGCGAATTTCAAGGTAAATTTGCATCTAAATCTTACTTTTCAGTTTTCTTTAGAGTCAAGGGTTATTTTTTCCCCATGATATTTTACAATTACTTTTTTCAGTAGGTATGGTCTGATTTAGACGAGAATTTCAAATTGCTTTGGACACGTATATGGGCATCATTCAGTTGATGAAATTAAATTTCCTCGAAAGAATAGAACTTACCTATATATAGCAGGACTGGCTGATTTTAGCCCTTCTCCCTTTTAAGTAATGCGAGGCAACTCATAAAATATATTATCAAAGAGTACTATGTATTAAGGGAATAGTGAAAGAAGATAAAGAAAATTTGGGCAAATATATTAACCGTTAGTAAAAATTAACAGTATCTTTAAGCTTAAATTTTGTCACTGAGCTTCTTGGTTAACAGGATAAAGGAAGTTACTTCACTTATATAGTAGGGTAAGAAAATGTAACATATTTCCCAGGCAAAATCGCTTTTTTCACTTATTAATTCTTATGTGAAGCTTTATATCCAATAGATGAAACAATGGATGTTTCAATTTTATGTGCTTTAGAAAAATCCTTATGGCTATGAAGTCTAGAGGAGTGTAACATTAAAAATGCTTTTTAGTGAGGCAATTCTTATGTCTAACAAGGGAAAGGTCATAATAAGGTTGAAATAAACCAGTGTTTTAGAATGCTCATTAACATTACTTATAATTCTTGAATGCTTACAAAGCATCGATTAGATGCTTTATGGTCTTGCCTCATTTTTTATCTAACAGCATTTTTTTGGTAGAGCATTTGCTCATTTTTGTTTGTTTTTATGTTTTTGTTTTTGCTTTTTGGCCACACTCTGTTGTGGTTTGGAGCTACCCCTGAAACTATGCTGGGGGCTCCTTAAAGCTATTACTGGAAACCTCATAGAGTGGTTGATGTGTTATTAATTTGAGTAGTTGTATATTGCTTATGTAATTATGTTATACTTTTACCAAATAATATGGGACAATTTGCTTAAAAATTTCTGTATCTTTTTTTGTAGTCTTTTAACAGGTGTATTGAAGATTTTGGTTTTCCATTTACTGTCACTGATCTTTCCAAAAATGGGGAAAATACGGCTTCAAGTAAGACTGGAAAAGCAATAAATCACCTTATATAGAAACATTTTTACATGCACATTGTTAATAATGAAAATATACTAAATATAATTTTAATAGTATTAACAATATTATGGTTAGATATAATACAATAAAAACAATGTTTTAGCATATTTAGTACCATCTGTATTTTTTTCTTTCAGCTTCTGCTTTACAAAAAATTAGCTTTTTGCCCATGTCCATGCTTGAACAGGTCAGTTAATGTGTATATAATCTGTTTAATTACTGTATTGCTTGATTGAGAAAAAAGTAATTTTTTAGTTGTTGAATTATTAGTCTTCATTATTAATTGCTTTTTGAAAACTATCATCAAAAATGATTTCTTATGAGAAATATTTACACATCTTATAGGTTGATAATTCTGACAGTCGTCACAACCAGGAAGCACCTAAAGACTCAGATTTTGAGGTCAGAAGATTTCCCATCCATATTTAATTTCTTACACTTGGAGATCATTAATTTTTATATATCCTTTGAAACTTCAAAAAGATTAATATTTATTTCAAATGCATCCTTTAAACCCATGTTTTCTTTTTATTCTTCCTTTAAAATTGCTGAAACATTAGGCTTCTGTGTATTTGTGGGAGATAACAAGTATTCTGTCTATAGGGGAAGTTTAATTTTAATTTTAAACCACAAAAATAAGAAATAGAGGAGATGGGTATGTATATATCATCTATCTATATACAAATAAATATATGTTATTGGTGTTTTCATAATATATATAAATACTATATGTATTATGAAATGACCAAGAATAAAACCAATATTTTAATATATTACATATATTTTATGATATATGTTATGAAAAGACCGAGAATAAAGTAATATTTTATAAACAATTATTTAATTTTATTTTTTTTGCAGGTGCACACCTGGTGGTGCTCAGGGGTTAATTCTGACTGTGCTCAGGAATCACTCCTGTTAGGGTCAGGGGAACATATGGGATGCCCAGGATCGAACCCAGGATAGCTGTGTGCAAGGCTTTGATCATTAAAGCATACTTACTTATAGTATGAAATAGACTAGAGTATGGCAGTTCCATCTCCCACACCACAGCCCTCTCATGAGGGTCCTGGCAGCCCTCTGATGTAGGGTCAGAGCAGCACAGCATCCTTGGGCCCTTGTATTAAACTACTGTCCTTGTTGGCTGAGAATTGCAAGGAGTGGCTGCCCTCGGGCCTCCTGTGCCTACTCTGGAGCTTTTCCCTTCAAAAGGGGGAAATTTTGTGGTTTAGTATCACTGTATCACTGTCATCCCGTTGCTCATCGATTTCCTTGAGCAGGCACCACTAACGTCTCCATTTGTCCTAGCCGTGAGATTTTAGCAAGTGCCACATTGGAGGTTCTTTCAGTGTCAGGGGAATGAGACCTATCATTGTTACTGGGTTTTGCCATATCAAATATGCGATGGGGAGTTTGCCAGACTCTGCTGTGGTTTAGTATAGTGCTATATATTTGTTGCTATGATTGTAGTATCACAGAATGTTTTTAAAAAGTTTTTTGAGTTGCTGGAGTGATAGCACAGCAGGTACGGCATTTACCTTGTATGTGACCGACCCAGGTTTGATTCCCAGCATCCCATATGGTCCCCTGAGCACCACCAGGAGTGATTCCTGAGTGCAGAGCCAGGAGTAACTCCTGTGCATCGTTGGGTGTGACCCAAAAAGAAAAAAAACGTTTTTTGATAGTAGAATTTACCAGCAAGCAGAAAATCAGTGTGATTGAAAAATACCTCACAAAGTGGAAATGTATCACGCGGGAAATCTACATTAAGTCCAAATAAAACCCACAGGCTAAATGAGAGATTGTTTTGCTCACTATTATATTATTATTATTATTTTTTCTTTTTAGGTCACACCCAGCAATGCACAGGGGTTACTCCTGGCTCATGCACTAAGGAATTACTCCTGGTGATGCTTGGGGGACCATATGGGATGCTGGGAATAGAATCTGGGTTGGCCATATGTAAGGCAAACACTCTACCCGCTGTGCTATAGTTCCAGCCCCTCACTATTGTATTTTAAATTAGATTTTAAACTTCATATCCTCTAGTGAATCCCCAAATTGTATAGCCAAAGTGTTCAAGACTACTACTGAAATTTATATATTTTGTGCAGAGATTTATTTTAGCTTTTAACCAACTAAATTCCCCAGTTAACAGAATTACTTCTAACTTCTGAACTAAGTGCATTTTAGTGATTTTTAAAGAGCTAATATACTTTCAGTTTTAAATTAAGGCATGAATGGAAGAGATTTGTTCTTAGCTTGCTCATGGCTGTTTTTATTAGGTAGCTCTTGATTGATTGCAAGATCTGTTGCAAATTTCAACAGTAATCTTTCAAAATTTATTTTAATAGAAGTCAGAGCCAATGAGTATACTGTATTCAAAACTTTATAAGGAAGCTGAGAAGATCAAGAAGTGGAAAGTTAGTGCAGAATCTGAACTGAAGGAGAAAGAAAATAAATTGCAAGAAAACAGAAAGATAATTGAAGCCCAACGAAAAGCTATCCAGGAATTACAGGTATAATATCTGGATTTGAAAATATAGAACAGTAAATATTGACATCACATTATTTAAAATGGAGTATTTGAAATTAAGTTGGGCTTGCTATAGTAATGTGTATTTTCAGAATGGTATTATTTTAAGTTTCATTTATATTTTGTATCATTTATACTTTGAGATATTAGTTGCCTTTCAACTTTAGGATGAATCACACAGAACTGAACAAAACTTAATGCAATTGGTGAGGGAAATAAAATACTTTAGAAATGTTAAGGAAACAATTATTTTTGACAAAGATTGATTTAATGAGTTTAATTTATTATGGTTTCAATTTTTTTGTTACTGATGATGTTTTATGTAAATAAATTATTGCATTCAAGTATGATATTTGTAGAAAAAATTAAAATTTGAAATGACTTAGCTGCAAAAATGATTTAGCTTTAATTTTGTGACATTTTGGAGGAAATTATTTCTTTTTTTGCTTTTGGGGTCACACCTGGTGATTTGCAGGGGTTACTTCTGGCTCTGCACTCAGGAATTACTCCTGGAGGTGCTCAGGGGACCATATGGGATGCTGGGAATCGAACCCGGGTCGGCCACATGCAAGGCAAATGCCTTACCTGCTGTGCTATCTCTCTAGCCCCGAGGAGGAAATTATTTTTAAAATGTAAATTGGTTTTGAATGAAGATGAGCTGCCATTTAAAAACATTTAGGGAAGATATTTTATTAAAATGTCATTTGATACTTTTTTGTATATTATTTGGCAAGTTTAATTTTAGAGTGATTAAAAAATGAGACCTGAATTCTTTTGGGAAAATTGTTTTTGTGTGAACAAAGAATTCTTACAGATTGTGGTGTGTTACTGAGGAACTACTGATTAATAATTATATTAATATTTCTGCATTGCTGAGCAAAATGTTATGAGCTGTTCTGTTTTACAAATAGTTTGAGAATGAAAAAGTAAGTTTGAAGTTAGAAGAAGGAATTCAAGAAAACAAGGAATTAATTAAAGAGTGAGTAGTAATTTAATTTGTTTTTTTTCAAAGTTATTTTTCTTTCTAAATTTATTATTGAAATACATTCTTTGGTTACATCTTGAGGTGGTTGGGGAAACCCTCTTCTGGGAACCATGTGGTGTAGAGTATCAAACTTGCAGACACAGTTTCTGTCTAGCCTTTGTTTTTTTTTCTTTTAATGTAGGAATATTGCAATTTATTCAGCCATTGATTAAGCTGATTGAAGTGGTCATGAACTCCACTCCGCTCTAGCCTTTGAACCATCTCCTGGGCCTAAAATAACTTTTGATGGTGTATTAAGAACTTATGTATTATATAGCATCAAGATAAATGTAGACTTCTTTCGTCATGCTATGAAAAAAGGATAACATCTGTTTTACTTTCTTGCATTTAGCAAAACTGGTCATAAACTTCTCATTTTGTAAAATGTCAGGAGAATCCATTACTTGTATAATAAAAGATAATCTGATAATTCTGTGTCTGTGACTGCCAATATATCATTTACTTTTTTGCTTTTCTATTATCCTAGGTATAGCACTTATGAAGGATTCAGTTCCAATATCAAAATCTTATTTCTGACAGTGATACAGTAATTTTTTCATAACTTTGGCCTACATTTTTATTATCATTTATATTTTTCCTTTCCTTTTTTTTGTAATGGCTAAGTCTTACTTTATCACATTATTCAGATCACATCATACTGAATTCATTTTATTTTATTTTTTTTGGGGGAGGACATATCTGGTGGTGCTCAGGGGCTGCTCCTAGCTTGGTGCTCAGGAGACCATGTGGTGTTGGGATTGGACTTTTTTTTTTTCTTTTTTGGGTCACATACAGCGATGCACAGGAGTTACTCCTGGTTCATGCACTCAGGAATCTCTCCTGGAGGTGCTCGGGGGACCATATGGGATGCTGGGAATCGAACCTCAGTCTGCGGCGTGCAAGGCAAACACCCTACCCACTGTGCTATTGTTCCATTCCCTGGACTTTTTTTTCTTAAAGCACATTCTCAACTCATTGAACTATCTCTTTATCACATGGACTTAATAGAGAAATGTTTATCTGCCAAATAAATACTGAAAAAAGTTATGCATAGTTTCATAAAAAGTGCTAATATTTTTATTCCTATTTTAAGTATCCTGCTAATACTGTTCTTAAAGGCCCATTACCGTCTCATTAAATTTGCTAATAAGTGAAAAATACCATTTCAACAATTCTTGTAGCACAACTGAAGGATAACCTATAGCATCTCAAATGCAATTTAAATATTACACCTCCATTTTTCCCTACTGAAATGAGTTTGTTTATTGAAGGGAAGAAGGTTCTAAAGCTATGCCTACTATATATTCTATCCTGGTCTTTTCTTTGTGGGGAGCACACCTAGCTCAGGGCTTATTCCTGCCTCTTCCATCCCCAACCCTAAAGCTCCCTCCCCTCAAGACTAGGTTACCCTAGTTCTATAGTGAAGATTCAAAGTTTTGTTACCACTAGTTATTATTCATTCCCTTCCTCCCTCCCTACCTTCCTCCATTTGTCCGTCCCTCTGTCCCTTCCACCTTTCCTCAGGTGTCACTCCTTCAGGGGGTGGGCATATGGAGTGCTGGGTCTTAAACCCAGGTTGGTCATATATGCAGGGTAATTGCCTTACCTATTGTACTATCTCTCTCACCCTGTTGGTTTTCTTTAAAATTTAAAAAAATTATAGTTTAGGTAACATGGTTGCAATAATGTTAAAGTTTATACTATTGACATATAAAGTTTCTGTATCCTACTACCATCCAAGAGCCCCCGACCCTCTACCACTGTCCCTGTGTCATCTCTAATTCTATATTTTTTCCCACCACCCCTTACCTCACTGCTTGGAAATCAAGTAGTTTTGTAATAGAAGCACAAGGATTTGTCATTATTCAGCAGTATTCATTCCCTTTTTTTTTTGTCTATTTATAGTTCACAAATGAGTGAGATCATCCAGTATCTGTCTTTCTTCTGACTTACTTTGCTTAACATGATACCCTCAAGTTCCATCCATGTTGCAGCAAACTGACTGATTTCATCTTTTCTTACAACTTAAGACTATTCCATTGTGTATATATACCACAACTTTTTTAAAAAAATTTTATTAGTGAAACACCATGAGGTACAGTTGTAGACTTACAAATTTTTGTGCTTGGATTTCAGTTATACAATGATTGAATACCCATCCCTTCACCAGTGCCCATTCTTCACCACCACTGATCCCAGTATCCCTCCCACCCCCCATCCCCCCATCCCACCCTACCTCTGTGGCAGGATATTCCCTTTTGTTCTCTCTCTCCTACCACAACTTTTTTATCCTTTCATTTGTATTGGTCCATATTAGATTACACAACCTGGCTGTTTCTTTATATACCACATATGAGTGAGACCATCTGGTATTTGTCCTTTTCTCTGACTTTCTTTGGTCAACATAGCCCTCTCTTCCTATCCACATTGCAGTGTAAGGCAAGATTTTATCTTTTCTTACAGTTGAGTAGTATTCTCTTGTGTATAATATACTACAGTTTTTTTTAATCATTTGTTGTTGGTCACTTGGGTTGTTTTTAGATCTTGACTACGGTAAGTAGCATTACAATAAAAAAACACTGTCCTCCCGTTGTTCATCGATTTGCTCGAGCGGGTCCAGTAACGTCTCCATTGTGATACTTCTTGTTACTGTGTTTGACATATCGAATACTTTCGGTAGCTTGCCAGGCTCTTCGAGAGGGGCGGAGGAATTGAACCCGGCTCGGCCAGGCTGGCTGCGTGAAAGGCAAACACCCTACTGCTGTGCTATCACTCCAGCCCTGCATTACAATAAACATCTATATTTATTTTTACATTGTTTTTGTGTTCTTGGGATAGAAGCTGACAAATGGAATCCTGATCATGTAGGAGTTCTGATTTTATTTTAAGTTTATTTTTATTAAAACACCATAACTTATAAAATTCATACTACAGTTGTTCCAAGCCTACAATGTTCCAGCCCCAGTCCCCCTTCTCTCCTCCAAACTCCCCTTCAACCAGCCAACTCATCCTTTGGGAAGCATATAAAAAATGTACTTCATATAGCTTGCTCCAAAAAATCTTGAAGGCAAATGGAATTATTAAAGAATGAATCAACAAAAGTCTCTTTGGATTGATTGCTATATAATTTTAACTCCTGTAGATGAAGACATTCAAATCATTTAACATAATATGCATATTCTCATTTACATAAATAAGTCTTCTACTTTGGCATCTAAAAAGAGTTCCACTTTGATTTTTTAGTTTTTTGCTTTTTTAAAATTTTACTTTTTATAAACTTGTTCACAGTTTATTACACTCAATATTACAACACCAATCCCACCACCATTACACCTTCCTACTACTACTATTTTGAATATTCCCAACCAAAGCCTGTCCCTAAGTCTTGCCTGTTATAAATCTAAAAATGATCCAAAAAAGTTTCCTTAGAGGAAAGTGTGTGAAGATTGTTGTATCTCACCCTGGGACCAGTAAGCCCTTATATACGAGATTACTAATGTGTCGTCACAGGTTGAGCCTGTATGCAAATTTTTTTTTTTTTTGATCTAGATTGGTTGCCTTCTACTTTACACCCTATCAAATGTGGTGTGCTACTCTTGGTACATCAGTGGCATAGAGTATGTGATGTCGTGCCACTGTAAATGCGACTGTGTACTCCAGGAATTCTAATATTTTAAATAGGGTAAGGTTACCCTTTTAAATAGGGTAACCCTATACAGTTAAATTTTTAACTGGAAGATGACTTTTGAATCTGAGGAATCTCTGCAGCTTGTTGATCTCTTCTGAGATTTATTTGTGAGTCTGGATCATGGCCAATTAATAAGCTTATATGGCACCAGAGGCAGTTTGTGAGTTGTGACTGCCAGGCTCCTGGAAGAACAGGGAGATGGAAGGGTCGCACATTCCCTACTCTGTGGAGCCTAGAGATTTCAGTCACAAAACCTGCATACCTGAGTTTTTCAGCAGATTCACTCATGGATGAGGCTTGTCTGAGCCTATGGAAATTGGCTGTGAGCATAGTGGCAGTTGAGTACTGGAGGTTTTTGATTACTGGGCCTCTGTTGGGGCAGGAAGGGACCAGATGGGGTGCCAGGTATAGAACCCAGATTGGGTTTGTGCAGGGCAAGCACCCTGCTTACTGTAATGTCCACCCCCCAACTTTTATATTTTTAGTTTTATGCTGTTTTCCACTGAAGCTAAACCAGAAACATTCCCAATAACTCTCAATGAGTTCCTTTTCACCACATCTCTGCCAAGAGTTGTTAGAGTTCTGGAATCTGTAGATATAAGCTTGTCATATATAATCTTTATTATTTTCAAGTATTTTAACTTTTGTAACTTTTTTAATGCAAGTTTTAAATTTATAGTACTGAGTTTTCTCAGTAGGTGTCATCTCTACATCTACTGAGCTAAGAGATATATTTGGGATTGCTTGCTAGAAACTTATGCTTTGAAGGTGGTACATTAGAAATATTCAGAGTAATCATTTAAAAGTCCAGGCATGGGGGAGATGGCTCAGGTGGTGAGCCCCTGACTGTATTAAAGTTTCAATCCCCCCATACCCCTCTGCACACACATATACACACACCACTGCCTTGTGTCTCCAAGTGCTTTTAGGTGTGGGTCATATAAAGAAAAGGCTGGAGAGATAGCTCAGTTCGAAGAATACTGCCTCATATAAGGGAGGCTCAGATTTGGTCCTGGTATTGTATAGTCCCTGAACACTGCTAGGAATGATCCTTGGGCATGGATCTTGGAGTAGCTTTTGAAGGAAGAGACCATCTTAAAGGGAGGCAGATGATTAGGTTTGCTAATGGTATATACTCAACTTCTTTATTTTTCCCTATATTTATGAACAGCATGTAAATATATTTAAACGTTTTCAAGAACTGCATAAATATGTTTAATAACATGATTTTGAAATAATATAGTTATGCATACTCTTTGTTTCAGGAATAATGCTACAAGGCATTTATATAATGTACTCAAAGAAACCTGCGCCCGATCTGCAGATAAAGCCAAGAACTGTAAATATATTTCCTATTTAATGTGATTGTTATCAGTTTATTGTTATTTTAATGGTGGGAATATAGAGAAGGGAAAGAATTTTTTTTTTACTTTTTTGGAGCCGGTTTATATTTGAACAGTAATATGTGCCTCATAATCATTTTTCAATTATAATATTAATCTGTATCTTTTAAACTTTGAAAGTTCAAATATTTTGAAATAATTTCAAAAGATACATATAGCACTTATTGTTAGTTCCTATTTAAGTGAAAGTGTGGTTTTGAGATTAACCTTTGTTTTCTGTCTGGAACAAATAGATTGAATCAAGAATATGATATATAGCCACTGTTAATAATAGAAAATACCTACAAAAGGCCTTGTATTTAAGAATAATCATGCAATATCTATTTCCAGTCAAAATAGAATGATAACTTTCTCCTAAAGAAACATTAAAACATTCTCATAAAATTAGGGATTATAAGAATGATAATTAAATTTTGTGTATATATTGATTTTTCTGGTTTACAGAAATTTTTTCATTTTGATGAAAAATATAAAAATCTGTTAAAAATAGTTTTTTAAATCTTTGCCACTAATTAAACACTTGTCCTACTTTTTGTCTGCCAAGAATCTATTAAAAAACATGCTTTCTGCCTTTTCAGGGTACAGGCTATTTTTGTTAGTTATACTGAATATCTGTTAAACTGACAGCAGTTTTCTTATACTGCTATCATAAAATTTACTGATTAAATAGAGAGCCAGGGAGACCCGAGAGAGAGCACAGTGGGTCAACCTTGTATGTAGTTGTCCCAGATTTGATCCCTGGCATTCAGGTGGTCACGTTCAAAACTTCAGTTGCTATCTTGTTTGACCTTGAATAATTTGAAAAATTATCTCTTTCTTTAATGAATAGAATGCGTCTCTTGGTGCTTTTTGAGAATTATTTTATAGAAAATTCTTAGAACAGTGCAAAGTGCTCAATAAATATTAACTTTCTAATAATAATTTCCAGCATGCACTATTATTAGTTTCATTGTTTGTTCGTTTTGAGGGGCTTTGGATCATATTCTGTGGTACTTGGTACTATTCCTAGCTTTGTGCTTGGAAGTTGCTCTGAGAGGTGTTCAGGGGATTTTTGCAGTGCCAGGAATAAAACTGGGATTGGTAGCACAGAAGGCAAGCACTTTAATCCCTGTAGTATTTCTCAAGCTCCAAGTTTTCTCTTTTTTTCCCCAAGTTTTTTCTTGATTCTTGTTTATAGTACTTTGCTTTTAAAGCTGTACTTTCCAGAGTGCATTTCTCTACTGTCAGCTCCTCCAATACATCCTTTATTTAACTTCAACATTAGTGTTACTGTCTACATTTAAAAAATGGTGAAAATATATGTATGAGGGATGAAGTATTACTGACTCAAAAAATTAAACTGGATACAAAGATGAGGCTGTACTTCTTTTCTCTTTTAGTTTAAAGTAATTTATCAGATAGTGGGAGAGGTCTTAAGACCTATCCAGAGGTGATAAGGCGATGTTGAAGTCTCCGGCTACTGTTGTGTTGCTAGCAATGTCTTCCTTAAAATCTGTTAGCAGTTGTTTTAAATATTTAGCTGTTCCCTCATTAGGTGTGTATATATTTAAGAGGTTATTTCTTCCTGCTGTACATATCTCTTGATAAATATAAAATGGCGCCTTCGCTGTCCCTTCTAATCTTTTTCAACCTGAAATTTATGTTATTGAATACTAGTGTGGTCACCCCAGCTTTTTTGAGGGAGCTGTTTGCTTGCAGGATTGTTTTCCATCCTTTAACTTTGAGTCTGTGTTTTCTCTGACTGTTCAGATGAGTTTCTTGTAGGCAGCAGAATGCTGGGTTCTGTCTCTGAAACCATTTTGCAACTCTGTGTCTCTATTTTTTAAAAATTTTTATTAGTGAAACACCATGAGGTACAGTTGTAGACTTACAAATTTTTGTGCTTGGGTTTCAGTTATACAGTGATCGAATACCTATCCCTCCACCAGTGCCCATTCTCCACCACCACCAGTCCCAGTATCCCTCCCACAACCTTCCCCCATCATACCCTGCCTTTGTGGAAGGGCATTCTCTTTTGTTCTCACTCCTTTTGGTCACTCTGTGTCTCTTAATTGGTGAATTTAGACCATTGACGTTGGGAGAGATTATTGTTATGGGGTTTTGTGTCATCTTTCTGTAAGGGTCTGTTGTGCTTGTAAGGTTTGTCTTGTCTTATAGTAGCCCCTTTAGCCCTTCTTTTAGGTTTGGTTTTGAGTCTGTGAAGTTTCTGAGCTGCTGTTTATCCACAAAATACTGTACCGTTCCTTCGAGTTTGAGAGTTTAGCCGGATAGAGTATTCTTGGTGAAGCGTTCATTTCAGTGAGTTTTTTTCACTATATCCCACCATTACTTTTGGGCTTGGAGGGTTTCCTCTGATAGGTCTGCTGTGAATCTAAGGGGTGCTCCTTTGTATGTGATTTCCTTCTTTGAAATTGCTGTTTGCAGTATTGTGTCTCTATCAGCACCATCCACCATTCTAACTATGATATGTCTTGTAGTGTTTTTGTTAAGTTCTCTTTCAGCTGGCACCCTTAGGGCTCCTTGAATCTGAAAGGCTGCATTGTCCAGCTCTGTGACGTTTTCAGCAATGATTTATTTCACCGTGGCTTTTCCATTGGGATTGTTTCCCTGACCTTCTGGTACTCCAATGATCCTAATGTTGTTCCTCTTGGAATCATCTCCTAGGAATCAGATTTGCTCTAGAGCTGTTTTGAGATCTCTTGCTATTGTTTGTTGTTGCCTGTAGGCTTGGTGCAGCTGATCTTCCAGCTCACTGATTCTGTCTTCAGCTGTGGCCATTCTACTGTTGAGGACACAGACGGAGTTTTTTATTTCATCTACCAAATTTTTTATTCGTGACATTTCTGTGCTAGCTTTTCTTCTGCTCTCATTTCTTCCTGTATTTTCTTGATTTTTCTCTCATGTCCTCCTTTAATTTACTGGATATCTGTCTCACTGTTTCATTGAGTTTATTGAACATCTTCATTACTTCATATCTGAATTCTTTCTTAGAGAGATCCCTGGGGTGAGTAGCACCTACTGAGGCTTCTGGACTCTTCATTGTCCTCCCCTCATGGTGGGGATTTGCGTTGTTTCTTCATGTTGGTGTGGAGGTATGGAGACTGAGATGTTACATGAGATTGCTGGGTATGAATAAATTACCTGCAGCCTGCCCAAAACTAGGCCTAGCAAACTTCTACAGAGACCATGCCCACTTCTGAAGAGGCCATGCCTACTTCTGAAGAGGCCACGCCCTCTACAGGTACCTGGTGTGTGGGAGGGGGTACAACCTGAAGGAGGAAGAAGACCAGGCCTTCTCCCCCGGCTCATGAGTCAGGCTTCCAACTATGGAGCAATCTTCCTGGCCCTTGTGTCTACTGTCATGGATGTCAGTCTCATGTTAATAACATGGTTTCTTTCTTTCTTTCTTTCTTTCTTTCTTTCTTTCTTTCTTTCTTTCAAGAATGCTTTTTTTTTGGTGAAACACCATGTGGTACAGTTGAAGACTTACAAACTTTCATGCTTGGGTTTCAGTTATACAATGACTGAGTACCCATCTCTCAACCAGTGCCCATTCTCCACCACCAATGATCCCAGTAACCCCCCACCCCATCCCCCCAACCCTGCCCTGCCTTTGTGGCAGGGCAGTCCCTTTTGCTCTCTCTTTCCTTTAGGGTATTGTGGTTTGCAATAGAGGTATTGAGTGGCTATCTTGTTCGGTCTATAGTCTACTTTCAGCATGCAGCTCACATCTCGAGCGAATCCTCCAAACATCCTTTTACTTGGTGTTCCCTTCTCTATCTGAGCTGCCTTTCCCCCCAGCATATGCTGCCAGCTTCCAAGCCATAGAGTCAACTTCCTGGTACTTATCTCAACTATTCTATGGTGTTCGTCTCTCATTCTGTTACTTTATATTCCCCAGATGAGTGCAGTCTTTCTATGTCTGTCCCTCTCTTTCTGACTCATTTCACTTAGCATGATACTTTCCATATAGAACCACTTATATATAAGTTTCATGACTTCATCTTTTCTAACAGCTGCATAGTATTCCATTGTGTAGATGTGCCAAAGTTTCTTTAACCAGTCATCTGTTCTTGGGCACTTGGGTTTTTTCCAAATTTTGGCTTTTGTGAACAGTGCAGCAATGAACATACAAGTGCAGATAACATGGTTTCTTTATCCAGTTGTCTGTTCTCTGTCACTCAGGTTTGTATCCAATTGTGAAAAGTGCTGCAATGAACACATAAGTGCAGATGGTGTTTCACTTTGTCACTACTTTAAGATTTTACTTTCTTCTTAATCTACTTGCTTTTGGTAGAGACTGCAAGCAGTTGTTTTATGTATTTGAGCCAGAGTTTTCATTTGGAAACAGTAGGAGAGAAAGACTATAGTAGACTTAACTTTATCTTAACTAGAAGTTGTTTTTGCTCTTTCAAGTTAAAATCCTCAGTTTATTAGCCTGATGAGTCATCAGTTTTTAAAACATGTTTGATTATTATAATAATTTAAAATCTCTAGATGCTTGTCTTCAGCAAGAAGGTTGGCCTGAATCACTTATTCTTTGCCAGGAAACAGAATAAGTCCTTTATGCTTTTCCAAAATACAGAATAAGTCATGCCTAATTTCTTTGAAGGTTTTAATTAATTTTCAGATATTTCCTGGTAATTGCAACTGTCTCCACCTCTCCTTGCCTTTTCCATATGCCATGGAGAACTCCTAGTGTTACCTAAATATACTTTTTAATATATTTTCATTGACTAGTTCTCTTGAACTTGTTATATTTGCTTTTGTCCTTCAAAAGTCCTTTGCCATATATTCCCTAATTTCTCTTAAAGTCTGTTTTAGATGATCCTCTTCTGTCACTTAGTACCGTTAGCTTTCCAAATATACTTATTCCTTTAACAAAAAGTACTGAGTTCTGCTATTTGCTAAATATCTCATTATATGCCTAAAGCCA